CGTAGTTACGTGGTGTTTTGCAATCTTTTGTTGCTAATCGCCTTATAATTGCTGCTGCAATGGTTTCCACCATGTCTGGTGTAAACCATGTCTGGTGTAAACGGTGTCTGGTGTAAACGCTGTCTGGTGTAAACTGTCTATGGTGTAAACTTTTTCTGGTGTAAACCTTTGTTGGCTTTGTCTGGTGTAAACGACGTCTGGTGTAAACCGTGTCTGGTGTATACGGTGTTTGGTGTAAACGCTGTCTGGTGTAAACTGTCTCTGCTGTAAACTCTTTCTGGTGTAAACCTTTGTCGGTTTTGTCTGGTGTAAACCTCGTCTGCGGTAAGACCTTTTTGTCTGGTGTAAACGGTGTCCGGTGTAAACGCTGTCTGGTGTAAACTGTCTCTGCTGTAAACTCTTTCTGGTGTAAACCTTTGTTGGCCTTGTCTGGTGTAAACGACGTCTGGTGTAAACCGTGTCTGGTGTATAGACGGTGTCTGGTGTAATCGATGTCTGGTGTAAACTCTTCTCTGGTGTAAACCTTTGTCGGCTTTGTCTGGTGTAAACTTTTCCATGGTTACTTCGTCTGGCGTAAACAACGTGTGGTGTAAACCGTGCCTGGCGACATGCACCATCATCATCATTATCATCATCATCATCACCTTCATCATCATCATCAGCATCATCATCATCATCATCATCCTTATCATCCACATCATCATCATCATCATTATCATCATCATCGTCGTCAGCACCATCATCATCATCATCATCATCATTACCAGCAGCTACGTCATTGCAATCGTCATCGACCTCATCGTTAGCTCATGATCACAATAGCATATCACGGGCGTATCGTGAGATCATCATCTCATGGCACATCATATTTTCATATTTGATGTCATGTCATATTTTCTTTCACGGCATGAGAGTTACATGTGTTTCAGGTTGTGTTGTATTTGTATACTTGGCTTGAAATAGACCCAGCTGACTCGATGTGTTATTGTAGCTGATTGGATTTTTTCCGTCGTTTGCATCGGCATGACGGTGACGGCTTTAGCATGATCAGCATCAGATTTGTTGTTACAGCTGCTTGAATTTTTTCCTTTGTTGGCATCATCATGACGGTGACAGCTTTTAACATGATCAGCATCATTGACCTTTGTGTCGTATGGCTCGAAGGCAAGTGGACTCGCTTATTCTCGATCGACGGTCGGCAGAATCCGATCCGTGTGGTCGGTAGGGTGCCAGGTTGGGACGTGCGATTTCGCACACTTCGGCGGCTCTTACTACCGGGACTAGCGTTTGAGCTCGACCGGCGCTGGATAAAAAAGAATCGACCGGGACTACCGTTTGGGCTCCGAAGTACAGTGCAACAGAATATACATTAATAGATTTGGTAATAACGTGATAATAGTATCATAATCATAATGTATATATATATATAGATATATATATATATTATATATTGTGTCATCTCATCATCATCTCATTTTGTTTCATCTTAATGTTTTGAATCATCATATATCATCTCTTCATTTCTTTAGTGCTCATTCATCTTCTGTTACTTCGCTTTTCTTCCCTTCTATTTGTTCTCTTCCGCCTACTTGCTTTCGGGCCACCCTGTCGTCTAGTTGAATTCCAAGTGGCTCATTCATGCCTTTACGTGACCGCAGCGGTCTAAGCAGCCAGCCACTTTGGCAGGGCACAAGGTGACCGCAGCGGAAAGTATTTTTGAGGTTCGTTGGAACCTGCCAGGGCCTTAGAGTGATGAGTTCCTCCCCACCTATTCCCGCTCCACCCGCCATGCTCCCATTCCCTGCCGGATTGGCGCCGACGGAGGGCATCCCTATAAGGCAACCCCTTTTCCATACCGTCCTTTGCGTACGATCGCACCTCGTCTACACGATGATGCCATTGGACAACTCAGACTCCCACTCACGGCCTACCAGACCTTCCGTGAGATCCACCGGTTTTCGTAGACCTTTACTGCAGCACGACAAAATGCAGAAACTACGTATTGGACAGACTTAGGTCTTCAAAAGCAGGTACACCAGGTTGATCAGACCTGGCTTCCCAGATGCAAGGTAGCTTTGTTAGGCGCAGTCCCTTGCATCTGCTGCGCCCCCCTGCTAACAAAAAGGGTAAGAGGTCAGGCAGTACATTCCAAAAGGATCCCTGTGATTTCAAGGGTCACACACACACACACGCAGACGTAGTCACAAGCCCTCTCCACCGAGACCAGACGCGCGATATCAATCACCTCTTTCCTGTCTTGGTCGGCGTCTCTCCGCTTGTCTGTCTCAGTCTGTCTGTCAGTCTCGGTGCTTCTGTCTCGGTCTGTCGGTCTGCCTGTCTTGGTCGGGCAGGCCACGCGGACGAACACGCACGATGTCAATTGTCTGTCTCGGTCTGCCTCTCTCGGTCCATCTGTCTCGGTCTGTCTGTCTCGGTCTGTCTGGTCTCGGTATGTCTGTCTCGGTCTGTCGGTCTGTTTGTCTCGGTCGGGCAGGCCACGCGGACGAACACGCAGGATGGTCACGGTCTCGGTCGGCTCGGTCGGTCTGTCAGTCTACGTCTCGGTCGGATACGACAAAATGCCGATCACGCCCACGATCTTGCGTCCACGATGTCGATAACGCATCTCCCCGCGGCCGCCATTACCGGCATCGCGACCGCTTGGTCTAAAACCAGACCCATTTTTTCAATCTTGAAAAATTTTTGCAAAGCACAGCATTTCCCAAGCTAGGCCCTCCCCTTAGCTAACGCTTAGGATGAATCCAGAACTCCAGAACATTCTCCCGGCTTACGCGACGCTTCCACAAGTTGCCACCATTGGCGCGGGCGGAAGTGTTTTATCAGTTTTGCTTGCCTTGGGTCTATCACTGCATCTAAGCAGCTCAACTGCCAACGTGTCAAAAACGAGCAGCAATTGAATTATGTGTGTTTTGTGTGTTGGCGCTTGCTGGCCCAGTGCTGGCGCAACATGTTTGTTCATCAATAGGAGCACGTCATGCTACCTGAACAAGTGGCAGTTTGATGCTTTGTGTCCAGGAGATACTTTTCTGTTTTGGGAGTTTGGTAAGTGCCAGGCCGATTGCGCAAAGTCCCTGCTGTGTGAGTTTGCGAATCAGTTTGCATAGCAAATCATGTACCCCAGTGTTAATATGCGTTAATGCATAGTTTCACGCACCGCATGTCAACATGCTAATGTGTCAGCCCTGGACGCACCAGGCATGTGCGTAAATACAGAGTTGTGAATTTGTTTGTTTGCCTTGGGTTTCTGTGGTTTTAAAGTAATAGTAGTTTATTTTTCCGAGTTCGCATGGCACAAAAGTGTGTTCATTGGAATGAACATGAATGACTCAAATGGTGCCAGGTTCATTCATGCGGTTCCAGTGAAGCCTTGAAGACAGGAGACAGCGCAGGTGTAAGTTGTTGACATTGCATAGTGGCATAGTGCGTGATCAAAGTTACATCATGTTTAATTATTTGCAATGCATTTGTTAAGAGTTTTTGCCACTTCAGAATCGCACCATTCAACGCCCGCCGTTTGTGCATAGTTTGGATCGCCTGAAGAACGCAGGTCTTGGCCCATTGGGCACCTTTGATTTGTGGTCACTGTACTGCGACATGTGCCGCGCCTACATATGCGCCAAGTGGTTGTCTTGCAAAACATGTTTGGTCGAGAAGCAAGTAAGGATGCTTTTGATGAGCCAGCTTTATTTGATGTAAGCCATATGCACTCAAGCGGACATAAGTTGGCGTGATGCAAGCAAGCAGCAACAAAGTGATACTTACCACATCGACAGGCCTGTCCATATTAATCATAGCATCCAGCGCGCACGGCATTGAGCTGCAAGCTATCAGCTAGTGCGGATCTAGTATAAACCAACTGACAGGTTTCCCGCTAGGTTTTACATGTATCCTCCCTCCGCATGCCTGCCCGATCAGCTGGTGTTCACGGAGGGAGATCAATTGCCCGCACCGCACGGTCATATTTGTGGTTTGCCCAAGATGCGGTCGTGAACACGCTGACGGCTTAATTGGCTGTTAACAGGTGTGAGCAGCAAGTTCATCGCATGTGCTTTTGAGCAAAGTGATGTCCTCATGCCAAATTCGAGGCTTGCAAGTGCACCAGCCGCTTCATGGCTGTACAAAGCACAATTTCTTGAAGCAGTTGCTGCAGTGGTCATACTCCCCATCCACTTGATAATCTTCCGCTTGGAGAAAGCTGGCTTGAGGCGGCTCTGACGTCGCTCAAGGGCTCATCAGTCATAAATTAAAACTGCAAGCCCCTAAATCTCCAAGCTGCGTGTGCCCTCTCCAGGCCTGGACAGGAGATTTGGCTGCTTTGCTTGATGCCAGTGCTATTTTCAACCATGCGCTTGCCTTTGGCCTATGCCAACTACTCCAGATGCCTCTTGCACAATGTTTGGAACTTTCATCGGTCTTCTTGACAGACCCTGGCCAAGTGTGACAAACCCTCATGTTGGCTGGTCTAAGGCAGATTGATTATAGCCATGGGATTGGAAGAGGAGCGCTGATGATTTCCCACATCTCTGTGTGGGGTTCTAGTTTTGTTGGCTGGCATCCCGCCCGCATCCGCCGGTCCTTCCGTCCTCCTCGCCCCCTCCTCCGTCGCTCACTCACTCTCACTCACTCACTCACTCATTCTTCACATCACTCACTCACTCACTGACACAACACAAGATCTCACCACTCACTCACTCACTCACTCACTCACTCCCCTCACTCACTCACTCACTCACACTCCCAGAGCCTGTCATCCAGAGACTGCAGAAGGGGCTGCGGCGCGCGTTGTCGCCGCTGGGCCCCCCTCTCTCTCCGCAGGCGCAGTACCCAGAGCCTCCAGAAGGGGCTGCGGCGCGCGTTGTCGCCGCTGGGCCCCCCTCGCTCTCTGCAGTGGCAGGCGCAGTACCCAGAGCCTCCAGAAGGGGCTGCGGCGCGCGTTGTCGCCGCTGGGCCCCCTGCGGTTCTGTGCGTTACTGCCATTGTGATTTGCAACGCAATGGTTGTGACAGGCTGCGAATCGCATTGTAATGGCTGCGGCCAGGATGTGCGCACACTGTGTCTGTGCACTACTGCCATTGTGATTTCCATAGTATTGGTTCTTGCCGGTTCGGAGTCGCATTGTAAATGCTGCGAGAAGGATGTTTGCGGCGCGCGTTGTCGCCGCTGGGCCCCCCTCGCTCTCTGCAGTGGCAGGCGCAGTACCCAGAGCCTCCAGAAGGGGCTGCGGCGCGCGTTGTCGCCGCTGGGCCCCCTGCGGTTCTGTGCGTTACTGCCATTGTGATTTGCAAAGCAATGGTTGTGACAGGCTGCGAATCGCATTGTAATGGCTGCGGCCAGGATGTGCGCACACTGTGTCTGTGCACTACTGCCATTGTGATTTCCATAGTATTGGTTCTTGCCGGTTCGGAGTCGCATTGTAAATGCTGCGAGAAGGATGTTTGCGAAGTGTGTCTGTGCACTGGTGCCATTGTGATTTGCAGGACCAGTGTTTGCGCGGCACGCAAATCGCCTTGTAAATGCTGCATAGAAGTTGTTTGTGAAGTTTGTCTCTGCGCTGCTGCCATTGTGATTTGCAAAGAAAGGGGTCTCACTGCATGCGAATCGCATTGTAATGGCTGTGGCAAAGATGCTTGCAAACTGTCTCTGCGCGGTACTGCCATTGTGTATGAGAACGGAGAGAAGGCATTCGCAGCCGATTGTATATTTGCCTTTTCTAGTCGGATATTCTCACTCACTCACTCACTCACTCCTCACTCACCTCACCTCACCTCACCTCACCTCACCTCACCTCACCCCACCCCACCCCACTCCACTCCACTCCACTCCACTCCACTCCACTCCACTCCACTCC